TACATTTTATTTTCTCCGTTTTAGTTTTGTTTTATCAAAAAATGTCTTATCACATTGCCCACATTTTAATTGTTGGTGCTTTTCACTTATGCGTCTCTTAACTTTTACACTATGAACTAATTTTAAATGTCTATTCAAATTACTTTTATCAAAAAATGTTTTATTACACATATCACATTTAAACTCGGCCATAATTACGCAAATAAAAAAATTAAATTTCCAACATGTTTCCATATCTAAAAAAAATTTAAATATTGCACACATGTAGGAATTTCCACCGCAATAAATACAGGAATACAACCGTACAATTTCTTGTGATACCAACCTAAAAGCTTAAAAGTTACTAGAAGACTAGTTACCTCGTACTCTGTTTAGCCGCGTCTTCAATATCCACTTTCAGTCTTGCATCGTTTGCAAAATTACGTCCTCTAACCCACATAGCACACGGACGTCTTATGGACGTCTAAAAGACGTCCTTTAGGGACATAAAGGACGTCCGAGGGACGTCCTATTTTGGTACCGGGACGTCAATCGGACGTCCCATGGACGTCCTAATGTCCCGTTTCTGTCCATCTTAGGGACGTCCCTGGGATATCCCAAAAGGACGTCATAGGGACCTTTGCGGGACGTCCTAGGGACGTAAATCAGACGTCCGAGGGACGATATTTGACCATAATCCATAAAGGGTAATAATAACAAAAATGTTAACAATAAAAGAGCTTTATTTAACAACTTTTATCCTAAAAAACCTAGCTAGAGTTAAACGTTTTCAGTTTACAAAAAAAACAGGAATGAATTAAATTTAACACACAGCGCTGGCAAGATGAAACCTTGGGTCCTACTTATAGCTTGTGTCGACAAAACTGAGTATTATAATTTTGTCCAAATTAGTTTTGTTCCAACTTTCCGCCATTAAGGTATTTTCTTTCCGCCAGCGGCTACCGACAATACACATCACTTATTCTCACATCAACACAAAACACTCACTTCACTTTATAACCACTTTACCACCAGCATCAAAAAAATAACAAATAACACTATATAACCTTCTTTTTTCTTCGTTAATCTAACTCACTTATTTAAGTTAATTATTGAATGCCGAAAATTGTAGCTATTGTTGTTCATTTGAAAATAAATGATAGGTTAGGTTTTCTGTCCTCATACTCTTGCAAAATCAAAACGTTGAATTTCAAGTTATCGATTCAAAGACCAACGATGCTAGTGCATAGAAAGTCCCATAGACGTCCCTTGGACGTCCCATTAACGTCCCGGACTCGGACCGAAAACTAAACGCTTTGTCGAAACGGGACCAAAATAGGACGTCCAGAGGACGTCCTTCTAAGGACGTCCTAGTGTTAACTTTAATCGGAAGTCCAGTGGACGTCCTATTTAGGTCCGGGACCAACAAGGGACCAAATCAGGACGTCCATGGGACGTCCTGTGCTATCTGGGAAGGTACTGTTTTCAAATTTCTGAATAAAGAGACCCAACTGTAACGAGGGTGGTCCAGCTCAAAGAATTTACACTGGCTGACGCATATTGTCAAAACGAAGGAGATTAGTTTTGTAATGCAAACCATTACGTTTTTCGTCAATACACATAGGTCATTTTATTAACGTATTGTCGTCTGTAACTGCTCTTATTATAGTGCCCTTTGGCATGTATCAAAGAAACGGCTTCCAAGCTGAAGATTGTGGGCGTGACTTTTTGGTATGCGAAAAACTCTTATGGGCTCAATCTTAGCATAACTTCTCTTTCTGGATCTTAATGATGTGTGCAGGTCTCTTCGCCCGTCTTAGCAAGGATCCTTGACTCTATAGGATTTTTCAATGCATCGTGTATCATCGGAAGTATTCGGAAAACTTACGTAGTTGCCGGACCTTCCAATGCGTGAATTTAAAAATGAACACGAATATAAACTGCTCTGACTTATATTTCGTGTAAAATAAGAATAGCAATAGTGAATGTCATGTAATAAACGTTTTTTTCTTTAATATAAACCGTTTGAGGTAATCCTAAATAAATGGGACACGATAAGACAAATCTTTATTATGGGAATTCACGTAACAACGATACATAGTATATTTGCTTTCAACCACCATGTTACAATACAAGCAATTATGGGCGGTGATGACACAATATTTTTTAGAACATTTCTAATAGCACACATATTTAAAAATAATCAATCATATCTTTATTAAATTCCTAATGAAATACCTACATATACGGAGTGGCCCAGAAGTCTGGAAACGGCCAATTATCTCGTAAATTTCTAGTCCTTATTGTACAAAATTTGGGGTACACCTATTTTTGGATACGGAGATTCCAGATTTGATATTTGCAATGTTGCCAGATTTACCGTTTTTCTTATATTCTTAGTCACTTTGGCTTTTCAAATTCACCACCCTGTATATTAAGTCATTATTGGAATCTCCTATTCAATACGAGTTCAACCATATGTAACACTTATGATTTTATGTAGTCTGGAAGGTCTTAAATAAATAAAACAATCATGGAGAAATGTGGTAGATGCATTCTATCATCGATTAGAGTACTGTCAACTAACAAATGGAGCACATTTTGAACACTTGATAAAGTAACCATTATGTTAAAAATGGTGTAATCTTTTAATTGTTACGATTTAATGTAGTTGAAAATAGTTTGTATTAAAAAAATTATGAGACATTTAGGCGTTGCCAGACTTCTGAGAGGTAGAACTTCATCTATAGAATACCTAATAACTTGAAGTGTTTCACGTTTTATACAATTTATTTACCATTAAAGTTATGGTTAGGTGGTCATGCTCATTAGAATTCAATATTTCTAATACCTATTTCTTAGAATGGATTAATTATAATCCCTAAAAATAGGTTATTCCCATTCAAATACAATATTTCTATTACTTTTAGTTCATTGTTTATAATCCTTATCATTATGGAATAAAACCCATTGAAATTACAGGAATGTAAACATAATATCGACTGTATTTTTTTTATTTTATTATTAAACAAATTATTTAAGTACCAAAATGTTTCATTACTCCTTTATTGTTTTTATAACATTAAAAAAAAAACTAAAAAAAAAAATTAGTCAAAAAAATAAATATAGTAACACAATCATGAAATTTTTCCAAATTTTTCATATTTTTAACTATTCTTTAATTTTTAGCATATCTGTAAGAATTATACAAACAATTCCTACACAATTTAACCAAAACATAAAAAATTATTTCCCAATAATATTGTTGTTTAATTATCGTATTTAAAGTAATTACCCTAAGTACTAAGTACCCTAAGTACTAAGAATTAACCCATTTAAATATATGTATACTGATAGGAGGCGAAACTTTTTGTTAGAGAATTTCGAGAAATACTTACCTAGTTATTGTATACTATGTTCTGTTTTGTCTGTGTTCTGTTTTGTCCGTGTTCTGTTATGTCTGTGTTCTGTTATGTCTGTGTTCTGTTATGTCTGTGTTCTGTTATGTCTGTGTTCTGTTTTGTCCTTGTTCTGTTTTGTCTGTGTTCTGTTTTTTCCGTGTTCTGTTTTGTCTGTGTTTTGTTTTGTCAAGTTCTGTTTTGTCATGTTCTGTTTTGTCCTGTTCTGTTCTGTCAAGTTCTGTTCTGTCTGATCACCATAAAAAAATGCAGAGGCATAGTTCTTATCATTTCGTCTGACCTCTCCACTTTCATTTTTAATACAGTTTTCAGCATTGATCATAACAGAATCTAAATAGAATATTTTTCCTCAAGCAGATCAAAATATACTATTGATTCCATAGGCACAACAATAAAGTTCACATTCTTCCTAGTAACATACAATAATTCTTGATAACTTATATCGAGGGCCACAATGCAGGACCTCCTATCATTTCCACTGAAAATTATATTTTATAATAATCTCGTTTAAAACATTTCGCTTCATCTACTGTATAGGGGAAGTATTACAATTTTTAAACAAAACATAAGTTAATATTAGTCCTATTATAGAGTAAAATAGATTATTCTGCATGTAAAACATTTTGTCGATTTTTCGGCTTAGGAGGTCCTGCCTTGTTGTCCTCAATATATGTTTCACCTGCTTTTTTTCTGGGCGGACCTCGGCATGGATTCATTTTGTAAATATTAAATTATTTTCCGTTTAGTAACCCGTTTAGTAACCTTTTGCGTAACATGTATACCATGTTTCAGAAACAGTTTCAGTGAAATATTTAACTAAAATATTTCAGAAACTTGTGCTTGAAATGTTATATGTTTAAAACGTTTGAAATATTTCTGAAACAATTCTGAAATAATGTGTGCTGTATGGGAATGTACAAAGAATTTTAAGACATTTGTAAATATTTGGAAAATAATCGGAATCGCAGTTTTGGAGACGATGACGTTAAATCCATTTAGACAGAATACAGAATGTTATTTTCCTTTATATAGAAAGGCTCTAAGGGAGCGCCCCCCTCGTCCCCTTCCTAAATCCGCTACTGAGTGTATACAAAATAATTTGATTATCAGAGGAAGTTAAATGACCTTTAAACTTGCCACTTAGGTCCAGGTTTAAATATAAAAATTTATATAAATAGGTGCGCCCATAGAAAAATGCGCCTACGTGTTTTTCACTCCGTCTTCCGGGATCAACATTATATTTGGTTCAAAGCCGTTTCAAATCAACTCATAAATATTTATCAGCTTTCATATCCTCTTCTGTTCTTCCTATTCAGTTTAAGTTTGCATATTTACATAACTGAAAACCTTGAAAATCTTAAAGCCAAAAGTTACAAGAGTAATTTGCTAACTGTACAAATAAAACAAAACATCTGTGTTTCTAGTCAAATCAAATCAAAAGGAAAGGTAAATAAACTACATCTATTGTAAAATAACAGTAATCCATAAGTGAAGATGTCGATATTATGCGGGTAGTTGGTTGAGTTACTCTTTAATAGATGGCGCAAGTAGTATTATATTCAATTATTTAGCTAAACGTATATGTAGTGGAGCTCTGTAAAATGTAAATAGCTCAATCTAATCGATAAACATTTTCATTCCGTGAATATTCAGACGTATAAAAATGTCGTGCCTGTTTATAAAATAAACACAGAGTCAATAAACGTTCTAATGCTATAAAACATGGGTGTCAGTGATTGCAAAATCAAAGTGGTGCATTACCTATATAAATCTGATAAATATTTATAATAATTGGACTAAATAACAATGAAAATGGCGGATAACTCGTTAATGATATTTAAGAACAATTTCAAATCTATTAATAGTAACTGTGTCGAGGTTGAGAGCAACGTAATTGCAAAAATATCTTCTGATGACAATGAACAAGCAATATCAATAAACGAATCAGAGGACGGTACCATTAACATTAGTTCTGACGTTTCCACGCAAGAGGAGGCTGTAGAGGAATATTTGGCGGGAAATAATAAGACTGAATTCAATGATGAGTTCCTAGCTTGCACTAATGTCCACGATGGGATATCTTTTAAATCTGAAAATGTCTTAGAAATCGACAACGACGATGATAATGAAAACTTAATTCTAGAAAAGTCGGTTATTAATCTCCGCCGATTGCGAAAGAAATGCAATGTAAATAATTACATGGTTAGAAATTTGAAAAAGAGGAGCATCAGATGGTAAGTTTTATGATTTTACAATTACTAGAAGGGGAGTTGATTACCTATTAATTAGTAGAGAAGAGCTTTTTGTAAGAGATTTTTAATTTTGTATAAGTACTTTAAAAATTTCTGAATTAAAATCTAATAATTACCTAGACTGGTAAACTGAGAAATATTTATTGAGTCTTGAATAGTTGAATGAAAAGAAACTCTAATTCATTAACATATATAGGTATAGGAAATATTTTGAACAAATGTTTTATGCCAGAAGATGGCCCCTAAAAGCCGAAACTAGTCGCCTTATTTAAGTTTTGTTTACATTTAATAAATATTATCATCCTTAGAGAGTATAAGAAAATCCAATATTGTGATATAAGAAAATGCTGACAAACAAATAATATATAAACCTAATAAAGTACTTATATTAGGTATTATTATTTATGTATAGGTATTATTTGTTTTTAAAATATACACTATCTAATGGAAAAGGGTAAGTAGGTATTAATTGTGATCTTAACGAATGGTAAATATCTTTATGAATTCATTGAAGGTTGAAATTAGTATAATTTTCCATAAAAAAAATAACTTGAATAATATTTATACTGAAAATAACTGATTTTCTGACCTTCGAGGTTTTATTGCTTCTACATACTAGGTTATGAAAAATAATGCGACGATCATCGACGATACATTTACATGGTCATTTCAATATACGATAATACAAATATTTTACGTATACAGACGGAAAAAATTATTTTGTGAATAGCTATATAAAAATATTTTTCGTAAATCCAGCCGGGAAGACACGGAGTACTTTAAAAAATCCGGTCCTGATTGAACAACACTTGACAAGCCAAAAAAGGTTTGTCAAAGTTTTGTTCCTAATTTTAACCTATAAATTATTCATCTCACTCAATCACAAATAATAACAAAATGCATATTGTCAGTGTTCACCTATTACAGAACACAAAAACTAAAAATCAGTGTAAACAAAACATAATCAACTTAACATGGCGGCCAGCATGAAGGGGGTCATTTTATTGTTATAAAATGCAATAGGTTAATGTTTGCTGATGATTTTAAATTATATGCTTCTATCTCAAATTTGGACGATATAGTAGTGCACTTCAAGAACAAATTAACAATTTACAAAATTGGTGTTTGAACGCTTATATTGTCATGATGAAGAATAATTCGCCGGTATACGTTGTTTGTTCTGATTTTAGCGATAGCTTTCATTAAACTAATTGAAGAATACCAATCAGCAATAACTATTCTTCTATTCTATAATGCAACAATTGTAACTTGGCTCGTTTTTCGGAAGAAACAAAAAATATATTTTTTCTAACCTGAGAACATCCCAGTTTTGTTGGTTTAGGTTCCTTTTGAAACACTCATACACTCCATGGCTGTTTAGTTTCAGGTTCATATGAATCCAAGATTCGTTACATGTTATCTTGTGATGGCAATGCTTCACAAACCTGAAAATTCAGTGTCTTTATACTACTATCGGCTTTCGGTCTTTCGTTCCAAATTAAATCTTTTCTCATTTTTTAGGCTACGAGTTTACTCTTGTGGGCCTCAGTCTCGGTAAGGTGAGAACTACTAATTTACCGTCTCTAGACTTTATAAAATGTTTCTTGAGATCCTCGAATTTTGTAGCAACGTGGCAACGTCTACTTTCATGCATTGGAAATTTACAATTTTATAGATATCGTTTATGTAAATAATTACAAAAGAGGGACTAAAACACTACCCTGTAGGACTCCCCGTTAACTAGATATGCGTTTGTCAACTTTTATTATATTATGTATGTTACTAAGATAATTCTTAATCCACTCCAAAGCGTTGTAACCATAGATATATAACCAAGACAGATAGGATTATTTACAAAATTTTTGAAGAATGAACGGTGGTGTCCGCGGTAGAAACTCAATAATCGGATTGAACATTGATGCCAAGTTTACGTGCTTTTAACTATAGATATATATAACCAATACAGATTACACAATTTCTGAAGTCAACGCGGATGATCCTCGACAGAAATGCAATATTTGGATAAAATTAAAATATAGATGCCAAGTTTGCGATGTTTTTAACTGTAGTAATGTAATTACGTTTGCTTGTAATACTGTTAAGTCTTTAAATTGTCCAAAAAAAAAATAACGTCTGACAACAGCGGAACTATTGTAGACCATAATTGTATTAGGGTCGTATTTTGTTTCATTCATAAAATTCCTTCGATACAGTACTAGTCCAGGAGCTAGTGAATTTTTTAAGTACTTGTTTTCCCGGATCGTGTATATTTAAATAATCTTTTCCCAGTGAACTGTGTATTTAAAATGGAACGCCAATCTATTAACAAAAGTAAGCCAGATTGAATTCGCGCATTACGTCACATCGATACAAGTGAGATTGTGTACAAAGTGCCTTTGCAGGTCTATTTTGCCCATTTCATGTATTTGTTTTTAAATCATGTTAAATTACTATTTTTGAAACTCAACAAGAAGAAAATCAAATTAACTCTTCCGTTGTGTATATATATAAGATAAATTAACTGTAGTTTTATTAGTAAAGTATTAACACTAAAATTTTCCATAAAAACGACCCCATCTCAAGCAACTTATTTTCACTGATTTAAGTTATCGAGTCAGGTTTTATTTTTGTTTTAATAAATTAAAAGTATTCTTTATCGTTAATAACAATTTAATAGATGAGAAATACGTTTTTTACATTTTTAATGTAATTTACAGAAAATAGCTAGGTATGTATTTGTTTTTAAATAATTTGACAATTTATGAAAAAAGGGAGTAAAAGTGGAATTACCAGTGGCCAGTAGGTCAGTCGGTACAATGTATCATATATTTCTATTATAACATAACTAAAATACTTACATCTTTTAATCATAAGGGCACAAGTTAAAAACCATTTTAATATATGCATTAGAATGAAGTAATAATAACTTAAAGAGACGAGGTCTTAAAGTAATAGCTGGTACAGCATGTTCTTTAAACCTTTCCTAGTTCCTCCTAGAATGAAATCACTTTATATGAAATGTGCTCTAAAAACGGCATATATAGCAGTCAATGTTTCAGTCTTAGGTTCTCTTCCTAAAGCCCTTATTCAAGCTGCATACCTATTGAAAAATAATTTAAAAAAACATATTATGTAACTATATAGTTTTCGGTTCTAGGTGCCCCAAAAGAGGACACTTAGCCGATAATTTGGCTCAGATAGCTAAAAATCAACAGTCATACTTCGAACCAGGACGTATTGCTATCCTTTTAAGTAAAAAATAACTAAAAATAACTTACCTGAAAAATGAAAGCGTCTAACTTTACACCAAAAAAACCATACACTTTTTCCCATTGTTGCAAGCACCCGATGACGATTAGGTAAATATCAACTAGAAGCATGTACTTAATGGTTATAAAGCTTATTTTAACACAAAAAGAATAAAGCACTAGTCGAAAAGCAGCAATCAAATATAAATAGACCACATTAAAATTCAAATTAAAAACTATAACTATAAAAGACAAATACTCTAAAAGCGCAAAAGATCAGAACCAAATGAAATGAATAACCTAAAAATCACACTAAAATTGCAAAAAATATTACTGTAAAATTATGAGATTACATCAATAATGCATATGCGTCGGAGTATCACAAATGTCAAAAGTACAGTGTTTCCATGAAAATTTAGCTGTTTTTAGCAGTATTATAGGACCATTTCTACCACGCGTATCCAACGATATTGGCGTTCCACAGTTCACTGTATTTTCCTCACACCTGTAGTATAAATGATTTGACATAACGAAACTAACAATAATTATACCTAATGTAATAAGTGTTTCGTGAATTCTAAATAAAACAATTATTATATAAAAGTGTAAAAGGAAATGTAATTTACTTTCCTATTTTCTTCTGTAATATCTTCAATTATTATGTTTAATTTCTATAAATAAACCAACTGGTTAGGTGAAACATTGTGATATATAATTTTATTTATGTGTCCTATGCGTACACTTTAATATACAAAACACCTTTAAACATTCTTTAAATAATTGTGGTCGTAGAAATAATTGTGTACATAACTCGTTTGAAAGTGTATTTTATGCACTTGCTAAATATATTATCCATACTCACAGATTAATCAGACTATTTTTTTACTTAACTTCAGTACATCTCTTACTACTAAAACTATTTTTATCAATGGAAAAAAAGGGCCGTGTTCTCGTATGTTTTGACACATTTTCGGCCTCAGCCCATTGGATCCTCCCTCTAAATATATATGAATTTTGCTTAGAATTGCTAATCCTACAATTCTCTATCCGTGCTTGCTGACTGGGAAAATAAATACCGAAAATCGTCGCTGTCTCCTGGACTATAGAGTAGATGATGATGAGGACTTCACAACAAATACACTTTTATGAATGGCTAGTTGGGGATGTGGTTGTAACATCATATAACATTTTTTTTTACTAAAATTTCGCGATCAGTTGATTCAAACGCACTCTTTAAATAATATGTGGGCAAACCCCCTCCACCAGCTTCAATCCGGCCCACGAGAGATTCAGAAAATTCAAATAATGCGCAAACAAAATTATAGAGTTAGCACACGTTTATTTGTTATTGTATTAACTATACGCAGTGGAACGCCACTGTATTCTTCAACTCATAATGATCAAAATCGATAAATAATATTATTAAGCGTACGTAAAGAATACAATATGAAGCGGCAATTAAGAAAGGATAAAATTAAAATAGTGTATTACATAACGAGAAATGTAAGGAGCTTATTACATGCGAGTAAAAAAGTTGGGCGCGAGCCGCGTAGCGGCGAGCGCAGTAATTTTATGAGCATGTAATAAGCTTACAACTCTAGTTGTGTACTATACTTTTTCTACGACTATTTTAATTTATAGAAATAAAAAGCATAACAAGTAACTTTATTTCACAAAATTCTGGAACAATTTAAATTAAACATTTATTTGTAATAAATAATTGTAACATTTTGG